TCTCTCTCTCTCTCTCTCTCTCTCAAACACTCTTGAACTCTCTTGAGCCTGTTTGCTTATCAGTGCTATGTTGCTGGCGGCGTTAGTTGCGCAGGTCCTGGGAAAGGCATGCATTGTCTTTTCCTCGGAGTTCTGGGCTTCAATGGCTTTTGTCTACTCCATGGTAATGCATTTGGTTGATCTCGACTACTCATATCTTGACCATAATACATTGTGTGCCACCATTTCCTTGCACGCTGTTTGTGAAGCACTATTCTAACTCTTTCGTTCTTGATCATGTGTGGTCGTTTTGTGTGATACCGTTCTCAATCTGGAATGGTTGCGGGGCCATAATGGGTGTGCACGGAAGACACGGGAAAGGTCGACCTGACAATGAATGTTGTAGAGAGGGTGGCAGGAGGGTTTTCAGCAGGAGGTGGCCTCTCTGGAAACAAGTGAGTGAGCGCATTCTCTCGATAGTCGATGCAGTCATGATTAAAATGTTTCACATGCAGTTGGAGAATAGTCGATTGTGGACATGTCTTGTTCTCAGCAATCTCTTAGTGTTGTTCGTATTGACTCTCGTGACTGAAGTTGCTGTATGGTTAGTCCCTGATGTCGTTGAGCTCACCCGGGGAATCAGCCTATCCTTAGGCTGTTCTGCGTGCACATCTACTGCTCACGCATGTCCGTGTGATCTGGTGCTGAACTCTGGTTCAGGCATCGATGTCAGCACAACATTGAGTTTGGGGCTGCTACTCTTTTCCAAGCATCCTTTCATCGTTCCAGCCATTGTGGTGTCATCGTGTATGTTTGTCTGTGTGTGTTTTGTAGTGTTTGCTAAAACTCCACAAGACAACCATGACTGTGCCGGACTGTTCTCTTGGACTTTCACCAACTCATCAGGAGTGTGTGTGTGTGTGTGTGTGTTTATGTAATACTTGTGAATTGAAATATGAGTAGAATGTATTTAAATGTTCAAACGGATTACTGGGGCAAAATTCCTTGGACTTCAGTCGAGAGTTTTGTCTTCAGATTCCAGACCAGGATTTACAAGGCCTCGCTTTCAAAGAATTATGGTAAGATGCGTGTGTGTGTGTGTATGTGTGTGGTGTTCTGTGTGTGTGTGTGTGCGTGCGCGGAGCAGCAGCGCACACACAATCCTCCATGTTCCTCTTTGCCCATGTGGCGGTTGCTACATTTTTTGTGTTTGCTAAGTAGAAAAGAAGTAATGTGGAAAAATGAATGTTGAAGAGGGTTTGTTTCAAGAAAGGAAGCAAAAAAAAAGAAAAATGGTTGTTCCATCGTGTTTTGTGGTACTTGGGTCTTTTCAATAGTCAAAAAAGAGAAAAAACAAAAGAATGTTCCAATGTGTCCTACAGCACTTGGGTGGCCAAGCGATAAGCAAGCACGTCTGGAGCGATACATCTTTTCTGAGTTTTATTTTTATTTCGGTTTCCTAACTTTCCTGCCTGTTCTTTTCCTTATGGGTCTTTTCTTTTTCCACGAAGGGGAGGATGATTGGAAGGGGAAAAAAAAAAAAAAAAAAACCTTCTGAGAAGTGTGTGCCTGGTGTTGCAAGAGCGATTTCCTCATCGTGCTAGCAGAATCCAGAGCGAGAACAGAACTAATGAAAAGTGTTAGAAACTGACTTGCTAATTTTGATGTCTTTATTTCCTCTTGTTTGGTGTTTTTTGTGGTTTCATTATGGACTCGTTACACAGCATTTCAAATGGAGCACTATCTGGTCTTATTGGCAGGTGAGGTGAAACGACCAATTGTTAGAATCCATATGCACCAACTTAAAGGGAAACAAACGACAAAAAGGAACAATTGTTAGTGTGATCTGAACCTCTGAAGTGAATCCAGACGGAGAGGTGGCCCGAAGAGTCTATTAAGGTGTATTTTGCTATTTTTAGTTTCTTTCTGAAGTCTCTTCCACTTGGATTTGATCTGGGATTTCAAGATGACACTCAGCCAAAGTTTTTTTTTATTGCTGTGCTGCACAAGCTGTTTTAGTTGTTTTATTTTTATTTAGTTATCTTTCCCGGCCCTGAGATTCTTTGGATTTTTTTTAACAAAAATAAAAATTAGCGAAGTATATTTTCAATCCGGACCTGGACAGTGGTTTCCAGACCCGACATCCAGACTGCCCACCTGACTGTCTGGACCATGGTTAATTGATACATGTTATTCGAGGGCTGAGTAGCTCGCCCTAGTGGGGAGTGATCTTTATGGTGTGGGTTTTTAGTACTTGTGTGGGAGTGTGTTGTTGGTTTTAGCACGTGTTACGATCCTGGCTACTTCCGAAGCGCAAATTCACAAGGAAAGACAATGCCTCCCAATTCCAAAGAAATGAAAGCACTTAGCAAAGAGATAAAGACCAAAGAAGAAGAAGGAAGCATAAAGAAAGAAGAAGAAGAAGAAGAAGTACACCAGCAAGACCAATGACAAATCCCCCTTCTCTCTCCACTTTCCTCCTCGTTGTCGTCTCCACCAATCTTATTCTCCTCCCAAATGATAATAACAACGAGTGGTTGAACCAGAATCAATATCCAAAGTTCCCTCTTAGTGCCAGCACAACAAGAGGTCCACCATAGCCATGGCCTCCCTCTTCTTCTTCCTCACACAGGCCTACGCTATGGCGGATATTAAGGGCCCTGCCCTCCTGTGCAAAAGACAACGCAAAGCAGCTATGGACACTGCTCTTTAGGTTGCCATGCCGGACACTGCCTCAAACTTTCCTTGGTGCGGCACTACCCCCACTGGGGCCTTCCAGATGCAGCGCCTAACAAGGTGATGAAAATGGTGTCCACCATAGCCAGAAAGGTACCTCACCACTCTCCTCCTTCGCCGCCGCCTTCCTCCTCCTCAAGCCGGGCTGCTCGCCATAGCCAGGCAGAGTGCCTAGCTCTCCTCCTTCCTCCCACAAGTGGATTGAGTGTATGGGCTTGAAGCAAGGACGGGCAACCATAGGCATGTGCTTCAGGCCAAAATTGTCAAAATTGGGGCACCCAAAATTCTGCACGCCCCCATGGCGCCCACCCAGTAGGCTGAATCTGCCTGCGACATCTGCATATGTCGGTGCAGGGTCCCTTGACTCCCTTTAGCTGTCAGGGGTTTCACCAATAATACGCTTTAAAAGGCCAGTACACGGCCCCAGCCTTGCAGAAATTTGTCCGTCAACTACTCCGAAAATTTGCGGTTCGGGCCCACCGGGCCACAATGGCTGGCGGTGCCAGCTGAAAAAGAAAAAAAAGTGTGTTGCTTGTGGTTCGGAAAAGCTTGGCGTGCAGTGCAGCGCCTCGGGGCCTGGGTGTACTGGTAGTTAAAGCTACGTCCATTGTGTTTGACTAAGCAGTAGGATGTACACCAAACTAGTGCCCTTGAGAACCAAAGTTGTATCAGTGAATGTTTTTTTTTTCTTGTTGTGTTCCACTTTTGGGATGGTGCTGTTGTATGGGACAGACAGCGAGCAGTGGGGACTAGCATTGGGTGGAGATGGTGATGTAGGGTGGGCATGCAGAGGGGTGGAATTGGGGGATCTTTTGCACGTGTGGTGCAGTAGCTGAAATGCTGCTTTGTGCAACTGGATGCGAGAAAAGACGTTTGCTCATTTGCTTGTTTGTGACTTCCTGATTTGTGCAGTTTTGCGTACTCGCATAGGAATGCATTTGGAAGAAATCAGAAACTCAACATCTCCCTCGAGCGCGGTCAGTTTGACTCGATGTTCAAGATCAACTACACAGATCCATGGCTGGAAGGGGATGACAAAAGGACATCGCGTGCCGTCAACATTCAGGTGCAACCTGTTTGACAGAGTCTCAAAAGGGGCATGGGGTTGAGGGAAAATGCAGCAGAATGACATCGATCGTCTTCTTTCTTTGTTTTTTTTTTTTTTTTTTCTTCGAACGAAAAAGTAACAGCTAGATTTGAAATTGGTGTGCGTTGATGACCCTGTTTTACTCTCTTCTGCGCTCTGGTGTTAACCTGCCCGGGCAATGAATGTGAGACCGGGTTGGGACCAAAAAACAGGCTGAGAACTGGTTTGTGGAGCGCGGTTTCATATAATACAATATATTGCTGGGCAAATGGATTCCCAGTCTAAAACAGGTTTGGCTTAGCAATGTTTTTCGGAGAGCTATAGAAACACAATACTGTACTGCTGGGCACATGGAGACCCTGTCAAAAACAGGTTTTTAGTGCTTTTAAGTTTGTACTAACTTTTTAAGTTTTTAGTAAATAACAACAAGGCTTAGGGAACATGGTATGGGCATGCAATGGAGGGTGAGTTGATAGGAGCAAAGAAGTACTGTAGTTGTGCTCTTGTGTGGACAGGTCAGTGCATGCTGATTGAGCAAGTCAGGACAAGGAATGACCACCTTTTATAAATCACATTGAAAGTAATGATGTGCGAGGGTGAATAATGATGGAAGAAAGAATGACGCATCGCGTTGAACTTGTTTACATTGACAAGAAGGATTTCATGTTGTTAAACTTATTTGAGTTGTGGGGTGTCAGATGTGAGGCTCGCGAGGGGCGTCCTGACAATGGGAAAGAACGCCGCTGCTAGTAGCCTGGTGCTGATATTGCTTGGGAGTATCAATTCATTATAATGATAAATTAGTATGTTACTATGTTGTTTTCTCATGTGTATATAGGCTTGTGTGATGTTGTCAACAATAGGGTGATGTCAGCGATGGTGCCTATGGAATTGCCGCGTTGGGTCTGCATGGTCGTCGTACATGTGATGACGTGGCATTCTCTTCAGTGGAAGCCAGTGATTGCATAGTAGACGACAGGTGGAAGGCAAACTCTGTTTTCTGTGTTTCTTTTGGACATTTGGGGTCAGCTGCTACTGGTGCTATGTTCACGCTAGGAAAGGGTGAATCTGGCTGCTATTCCGGACATGTTCACACCTTGAAATGAATACAGCATCAGTGGGGCGTGGCCCTTAGAGAATGCGGGCTTTCTCTTGGGCTGTCACGTCACGGTCGTGTGTGTGTTGACAGTTAAGAGGACTTTTTTTTTTTTTTTTCCAGTTAGGGGTTGTGCAAGAGTATTGATGAAATAATCTGGCTTTTGGCTTGCTTGTCTGTATAGAACTCGCGCAGCCCTGGTGCAAGCATTCATGGTGTCAGAAGAGATGCACAAGGTTCAAGTGATCGCCCATGGCACGGAGGAATCACGATTGGCAGGCTGGTGGCAAGTGCTGACTATAGCCGTCCACTGAGGCCCAAGTGGAGTGGAACAGCAGGGATTAGTTTCCAGGTAAGGATGGTGGACATGGCTTTTGTTCATGTCTCGAGTCGCAGATGGATAGTCTATTTTGCTGACATACGAGGAGAACGAAGGGAAAGAACATTTTTTTGTATTTCAAGGTTTTTCAGCTAAATTTCTCGGCACAGCATAAGCCAAGAATGGTTGAGGCAGGTAGATGGAGGGTAGGTGACGAAGGAAGAGAGAGGAAGGGAAAGTACGCAAATGTTATCCTTCTCATTTGAACAAGGGAAGCCGGTCAGCGAGTGCTGGGGAGGCATGAGAGAGTTATTACCGAGTCCCGCGATGGGACATTCTTGAGTTCTTCACTCGCTATCTTCTTCCCATGAACATACTGTCCAGACCAGAATGCATTTCATTTTCCGAGAGTGCCCGACCAGTGGGCATTATGTAATCGTGTGGCTTGTCACCAAAGTTTTGTTGGAGGGAGGCCTGAGAAGGGTGTATCAACGGAAGTTTAGGTCTCTCACAGATACGCACACGCACCAACACCTCCACCTCTTCTTCCAATCACAACTGCCTCTCCTCTCTCACTCCCTAGTGCGCATGCATGCACATTCAAGTGTGCCCGCACATGCAGGTGGATGAATGGGTATATATCAGATAGTTATGGGCTTGTGATGAGTGCGTGAATGAATGAATGATGGATAGGATAATTATGGCCTGCGGCGTTGCACATTTCACCATGGCCTTTCACTGCGGCCTTTCACTGCGGCCTTTCACTGCGGCCTTTCTTCCTCGGGGTCAAAACATCCAGGTTAAATTCTGTCTGCCTTGTGCACATGCACACGGGGTATATGTCCGAAGAAGGGTTTTTTGGCCGTCCGTCCAAACAAAATGGTTTTTCAACCTCTGGATAGGATGCCGAGGCTTTTGTCCTGAAACTTGAATAGAGCACATGAGCATTATTATGTCCGGCATAAAGGTGGCTACGCAGTAGTGCGGGAAGGTGCCTTCAACCATTCATGTAGCACCGTCTTCCTTGCATGGATTTTCAGCCTTTTGCTGAAGAAAAGCAGGGGAAGCGAAACAAATGTTGGAGATGGAAAATTATCTTTCAGTCTTGCAAATAATGAACAGAAATTGAACAGGTCGTTTAAAAGTTCTCTGTCAATTAAGTAAAACAAGTGGACCCGCCGCAGCTACGCTGCGGCAGAGGAGAGGGACGAAGAGGGAGGCGGGGCCGTTGTTGTTACACCGG